CAGAGAAGTAAATTTAGAAACAGAAAAAAAGGAAAGAAAGAGAAGAAAAAAAATGTGAGGGTAGCAAAGCGAAGGCCGTCGCGCCCGCAGCTCTTATGTATATTTTTTGTATTTATTTTATTTTTATTCTCATTTTTCTTTTTTTTTTAATCTTCATCCGTCAAGACTGTAGTCCTTTTTCCACGCAGTGTGCACTCAGGGGCACTGTGCCAAGTGGTGCTGGCACGCGGCGTGAGGGGGGATCAGCCAGACGAGGGCAGGGGGAAGGAGGGAGGAAAGGGGGAAAGGGAAGAGGGAGGTGGAGGAGAAGGAAAGAGGAAGAGAAGGAAAGGGGGATGGAAGACGGGAGGAAGAAGAAGGGGAAGGAAAAGGGATATTGCGAGGGTGCGAGAGAGGCAGGGTGAAGAGGAGAGAGACATGAGGAAGGGGGAAGAGGAAGAGGAAGGAGAAGAGAGATGAGAAGGGAAGTGGAAGAGGAAGAGAGATGAGAAGGGAAGAGGAAGATGGAGGAAGAGAGATGAGAAGGGAAGAGAAAGCAGGGAAGGAGGGAAGGAGGCAGAAGAGGGGAAAAGGACTGAATACTGCGAGGACAGGAGAAAGAGAGAAGGGCGAGAGAGGACGACCGGGAACGAAGAAGGGGAATAGGGAAGGGGAAGTGGGAAGGCAGGGGGAAGGGGGAAGCGAGGGCGTGGAGCGAAGACCGAAGAGAAGGGCAGGGCGGGGTTTGGGCAGCCGGGTGTGGTGGCAGTCTGGGGCATGTGGGGGCGTGTGGGTGGCAGCGGATGGTAAGTGTGGATGAGCAGTCGGTGAAGCGGGGAGGGGAAGGGGGAGAGAGAGAGAGAGAGAAAGAGCAAGTGAGTAAGGTGGTGTGCGTGGCAGCAGGCAGGGGAAGATCTGGTGTTGTCAAGTAACAGGCATAGCTTTGTTTTTGTGAATGCGAACGTTGTATCTGCATGATTAAGGAAACATGTGCAGCTATTTATAACCTTAATGAGCGTGTTAGGGTACAAGTAATGAAGTAATGTAAGAATATAACTAGCATATGCTCTGCAATATATCATTATTATATCACCATGACCATTTTCCCATTACCAATCATGGCCCAGTTAGGTCATAGTAACCTCATATAACTGCCCATACCAGGTCAGACTGGCTACGTGCCATGGCTGTACAGGTTATGCTAGTCAAATGTCATGGTCGTGTCAGGTCGAGTTGTCACAGTGCCAGAGTTATGGCAAGAGTGTGTTGAGAAGCCATGAGTTACGTCATGCGTGTGGTCCTCACCCTCGAGCTCTTGCCGAAAGACGCCTCCACAGCGACGGGAGGAGATCGGATGCTCTCGTGGAAGGGAACTGAAACAGCTGATGTAACCGGATGTCTTCTCTCTCGGCTGCGAGGCGAACGTGGCGCTGTGACACGACTGCTGGTACTACAAGATCTAGATGGAGAAAGGATGGCATGTTATTTTGAGGTGAAAAATGATGTGATGATAATGATGGCACTGGTTGTAATGATGATTATGATGGTAACAACAACAATGATTGTATGATTATGCATAGAATAATGGTAATTATAAATATTATAATAATAGTAATAACTATGATAATAATGATAATAAATATATTATGATAATGATAATAGTAATAATAGCAATGATAATGATAATTATCATTGGTAATGACATAATGGTACCAACAATAATGATAATAATAATAAGAAGAATGATTATAGTCGATCTGATAATAATGATAATAACAATGATAATGGTAACAGTATCGATACTAATAACAATTATGATAATAATTATGATAATAGTAATATTGGTGATGATAATCATAATGATAATATAATAATAATAATAATGATAATGATGAAATTATAATGATAATAATAATAATAATAATAATAGTATATGATAATATGATAATAATAACAATGATAAGAATTAGGATAACAGTAATAATAATGATAATGATAATAATAATAATAATAATTATGATAACAGTAATAACAATAATAAATGGTAATGATGATAATAATGATAATAAGGATGATAATCATAATAATAATAACAATAGCAATAACAACAATAATCATGATAAAGAAAGATGTCGTCTTATGTTGACTCATTCTCCTTGTAACTTGGAGAAACACAGACAGGTGTGGAGGCGACCAGCTGACTTTTTATGCCGCCGGAGATGGAAAACATATTGTATGCCTTGTTTCTTTCTTCCTTCCTAAAAAAAGAGAGAGAGAAAGAAAAAAAATATATATGTGTGTGTGTGTGTGGAGAGAGAGAGAGAGGAGAGAGAGAGAGAGAGAGAGAGAGAGAGAGAAGAGAGAGAGAGAGAGAGAGAGAGAGAGAGAGAGAGAGAGAGAGAGAGAGAGAGAGAGAGAGAGAGAGAGAGAGAGAGACGTTATTTTCTGTAACTCGATTGGGAAAAAGCCCATTTTGCTGTTTCTTTTTTCGGAAAATTAATATAACGTGGTTGATTCTACA